CACAGTTGTCTTTGGGTTCTCCCTGCACCCCCATATCCTGATGAGACCTGGTAAGAAACAGCCATGGATTAGCAGTTATCTTCTCAGCTGTCAGAAGCAGTGTTTGGGGAGCGCCACACAAGTTGAGGTAGCCATGACCTAGAGAAGACAATGGCTGCTGCTTGCTGATACTGCCATGAAATGTTGCACGACCAGCCAAACACAGGGAGTCCACTTCATTTCATAGAATCATTTGCCAAGTACTGTCAGGTTCTTCTGCAGCTTCAGTAATATGATCACCACTTTCCAACCACCTAGTAATTTTCTTCAAAGAAACTGCAGGAATTATCTTTCTTATTGTGCCAAAGGACTAATTCTGATCTTCCATGTTTTACACCACTAACTCAAATGAATTCGGCAAGCTATTCCTGAGATAAGAATGTGCTCAGTGTTTAAAGGTAATTGCTCCTTACTCTGATGGACATAATTTTTACAAGCTAATTGAAAGCACTTTCATACCATCACATAGGAACTGATCCTTTTAGGTAGAATTCTAGTTAAATAAAATATTATAAATGAAATCTTTTAAAGTCTTTTCCTAAACAAGTCTTAGTAATTTATGTGTTAGCTGTTTTAAAGTATAATACTGGTAGCTACTATTCAGTAATGACATGTTTATACATACGAGTTTAAGTATTTACCCTTCCAAATACTTTTCTGAATAGACCATGCCACATGAACACAGTAGTAAAGTCACCAGCAGGTCTAAAATATTAGGATTTGCACAAAACCTGACAGCTCAACTCCATAATGGCCAAGAATTCCCAAGAAATATTCCCAAAATAAATAATTCTTTTTCTGAGACACTTATAAACAGAGAAACATCCATTAGGAAGAATACTGAAGATCTGCCACACATAAAGGGCAACATGTAACTAATGCCTTAAGCACAACGCATAAACAAACATGAACTAGATTATTAACCACTGTCCTCAAAGTGGAGAAAGCACACCTGTGTGTGTAAAAGTGAGCATTTTTATACTTTGTATGCATTAATGCCTTCACTCAAAAAAATTGTAATTAAAATAACTCTTGATACTCTGGATATTTATAGTAAAGATATACAAAATAATCCTGTAAGCATGTATGATTGCCCACACCATCCATTCTTTGTTATAGGGATCACATCTGGGAGTTCAATGTTAGAAACGGAAAATGTTATGGAAAGAAGAAAAATAAATTTAATTCTCCACAGCAAACATCTTGTTATTGACAGTACATAATGAATGATTACTAGATTTGCTTAGCACGAACAGGAAAAGGTATGTTTTGGTTGTCTAAATGGTACTTCCAGAATCAATTAAAAAGGAAAAAACCCTCATGATTTTTGTTATTATTCTACACCAAAAAGCAACCTATGAGATGGTGAAGGGATTACACTTGGTCTTTTTTTGATCTTTTTTAAAGATATTTCACTCAATAAACTGCTTATATGTTTTTATAATTACATCACATCAGAGGCTGTTGTTCACTGTCAGGAAAATTTCTTTGGGTAAGAAGAATGAAGAGCTACTAAAAACAGGTCCACAGGGATTTCTTGAAGAAAAATAAACAACATCACAATAGACTCTAAACTCCAAGGCGGTTAAAGAAAAAATTGTCTACTATTGTAGACTAAAAAGAAAATTTCTCTAAAAGGATCTTCCTAAGCAAACTATATCAGTCAAAACAGTGTGTAGACCTGCTATTAACATTTGATGCAATGGCCACTTTCTTTGAAATCTGAAAAGCATAGTCTTGGTAACGGTGACAACAGCACTCTGGCTATCCCATATTGGTTCTGTTGCTTCTTCCTCACTGAAACCTACAGTGAACTTCGAAGAAAGGGTGTGATAAATAAGGGGGCTGAGGATACTGTGTGAAGAGGAATTCCCTGTTACATGGGAGAACTGCAGTAACACAGGACTGTTAAAGACAAACGGCAATAGGACTGTGGATAATAGCAGCTAATTCAAGACATTATATGCAATGTAGAAAGGTGAGCAATAGGGTGGAATCTTGGGGGAGGAAGATAGTTTGTGAATATATTTGTAAATGTGAAGCCAAGTGTAGCTTTGAAACCTGTTTAAGGAACATACCAGTATCATGTACTCACCATGACTTGCACTTGTCCACCTTTTAACAATAACCAGAGCATTGCAGCAGGTGCCACTCATGTAATTACTCATTGTAATTACTCATGAGTAATCTACCTTTAACCGGATTCCTTTGTGAATAGCTTTAAGGTATAACTGAAAAAACACTCAACTTCACAGGATATAAACTGTTCTTATACAATCAGAAGGCAGATGATTAGCTAATGAAATACATTAATACAATAGCAGGCACAGATGGAAGCAAATAAAATACGTTTCCGCAGAAGAGATTAGCATAGATGTTTCAATGGATTAGGAAGTTTCAGTGACAGAAGGTATATTTATGATATAAAATCCATATAATGAGAAGCAGTGGAAAAAATAGGGCAACTGTCATCTGTCTAAGAAATATCTTCATAAAAAAGCTGTCAAATATAAACACTTCACAGCAACAAAACACTCTGCAGCGGAACAAGGCAAATTTAATTCAGAATTTACAATGTACCTCATCATGGATTTTATAATTACAAAAACCCCTGAACAGCTGGATCTCTCCAAATTGAAACAACACTTACCTTCTCCCGTTAAATAACTCCTGCCTGTCATTTATGATTAGTTGGACATGAAGATTGTTGTTGGTTTATTCTAGCAAAAGGACAGTTGAGAAGGAATATGACCAATGCATGTAAATAGACGCAGAGGCAAACACCTGAGAAGGGTAAGAACTAATTAAGCTCAAGGACCATGCTGGCCTAAGAACATATGGCTATAAATTGGTCATGAAGAAATTGGAATTGGTAATGTTGGAAATGAAACAACTGGATGTTTTCAGGTGAGAATTCACAAATGTGTGATCAGGATGACCTGGCTGCCTGCAATAACAAGGGCTTGAACTCAAGTGACCCAGGATGCCACCCCCTTCCAGTCATCCATCCTAAAAACACAATAAATTTTAACAGTCTTGCAAAATAACTGTGTGTTAAATCCTGTAATAAATACACCCACTGAAAAAATATGGTGTAGGCTATAAATAATAATAGAAAAATACCTATAAAATCAGATGTGAATGAATTTCCAATGGTTTAAAAACTGATTCGTGTAGTCCAAAAAACCCGTGGATATTCACTCAAGCTATCAAGATTATGAAGGTTCCTTTCCAGCAGCAGGTAGGGCTAAGATAAACCTGCCTAAAGGCCATTACAGCAACAAACTTTGGAAGACAATTTCACTTCCTACCAATAGTCCTTGTTCCTTCCCCCCAAAAATAAGGAGAAGAGTAAAATGCAGATATGGCATCCCTTACCATCACAGAAAATAAATAACAATCTTATCTTTGATGCCTTCTGCAATTTTTTTTTACTCTTCCTGCCACAAACGCTCAAGAAAATAATACAGAAGAATAACCAATGCACTTATAGGGTATACCAATCAATCAAAAGCCTGGCCCATTCATTGGCCTCTTTCACTGACTTTGGTAAATTTTATACCAGAACCTACAGAAAACACACACAAACTTAGGAAATATGTTTAGCGTATTCAATGTTTTGTTTCATGGGGTGCTTTTTTCCTAGCTGTGAAACTAGCAACCTCTGCATTAGGAAAGTTCACACTAGGTAAGTGAACCATTTAATCCTTGGAACAGTCTGATTTGTACTTCTTAAGGAATCATAAAAAAAGCTGTTCTATTGTCAGTTGATCCTCCATCAGATCTAAGTTTTAGTCTCAGCTTTTACTAATTCTAATTAATATAATTTTAGCCATTAAATACAATGGCATTTTATTTTGAGTGCCTTTTGTAATAGTCACATTCCACAGAAATGCCATTTCAATTGATCCAAACTTTTTTTGAAAATGCAGAACAAATTAGCTGCATTGTTTCACCTGAAAAAAACTTTTCCTTTCTTTCCCTTCTCATCTTCTTTTGCTTTTATTGACAGTTTAGAAAAAACATAAAACACATACAATGTCTAAATAAGGATGCCCTTGCTAAATCACCTTTCTCTTTCACCCAAAAGTCCATTATTTAGCACATATACAGCTCTTAAGCAATGAACATTCAAGCACTCTTAGTCTAGGAAGTCCTGACCACAACATCACAAACATTGTATTTCTGGACAAAAGCATACTTAAATACTTACAAAAAAGAAAAAAGAGATACTGATCACGACCCATACAGTAATCTCCTGTGTTTTTTGGTAGTGATATCTACGTTCTCCCTTAATCACTGTTGCTTTTCTTTCTTAAAAATATTAAAGTTAAATTATTTTGGGGGACAAAAAATTTTGTTCACCAGATAAGTAAGGGATTTTTTCAGCAAACAAAATTCAGTTTGAACTACTTTTCACACTATTTTTCACTTCAGACTGAACCAGAAATCAATTATTTACAATGTTCTAAGCAGAAATTATTAAAATGGCTTTGTGCTCTCAAAATTCCTCTTTCCTATCTTTCTTTCTTGAAGGGAAAATACCCTTTGCAACCAATATTTAATTGGAGGAGGAGATGGAGGGCACTTGCCAGTATAGCTTTTTTCTTTTTTCCTCTCTTTTTTTAAAAAAATTGTCATGCTGTGGGTAGCAGAGTAAAGATTATACTATTAAATGCATGTATATGTATTTGCAGGTATACATATATTCACCACTATATCCCTATATATAGACTGGAAATTTCTAAGTAATTAAAAGGGAAAATATGGGCAGCTTTTGCAGGTGGAAAGTTAATGTACTTACAGAAACTCGAAGGAAATTATCGGTGTGCTAATATGGTGCTACGACTATTGAAAAAAATCAAGTGGATATGATCACTCTATAAATATACACACTATTCTTACAAAATTCAGGACACTGTATATCACTGCATTCTTATCCTGCCTCATTTAATACTCACAGACAGACTGTAAGAAGGTTCCAGTATCACTGGCACTGACATCTTCCCTTGAAGATTCAATTTTGTTAAGTAAAAAATCTTTTCGCCCACAATCCTCTCTTTTTTCATGCGACGTACGCTGTACAGTCTAAAGCGAACTGCATAATTCCCAATCATCTCAGACTCAACGTGATTAAATTTGAATGTCTCTGTGAAGACAGGGCACGGTCCCCGCTGGATGCTGGTTTTTGCTCTCTGCTTCTTTATAGGGAGAAGAACTAGGTGTACTTGCCACGAGCTTCCACCTGTCCTGCTGTATGTGGGAATGTCTGTGACAGCTGTCACTGTCACCAAAAGCTTCTGTTCCTGTGAGTCATAGTCAAAAGTCACATCCAGTGTGCCATATTTAGCTACTGGCTCAGGATCAAAAGGTTTAGGAAGCTGTGAAGATGATCCTCGAGCTGACATATCCTGAAGAAGAAGAAAAAGCAACTTTTTATTTATTTATTTATTGCATTCTGTTATTAAATCTAGTATGGAAATATATGGCTTTCTCTAAGCAACATTTAGTGACTATGACCTCTTTCTTCATTTCATAAATAAGGAAATTAAACACCGAAAGCCTGAGGAGATGGCTGATTAGCAGCCAAGAAGAAATCAAAAGACTTTACCTGGCCAATACTGCCAAAAGCCAGGAGCCAATCAGACAGAGCTCAGACTAAAGTAAGCTGTATTTATGACCTCTTGTTCTGTGCCCCACATGTTAAAGCCCATACACATTTGTTAAGAGATAAAACTACCTTATTTCAGTGCAAGTATTCACACATTTTTATATTAAGATATTATTAGTGCTTTAAGAGCTGGCTAGTGATCGAGAGCACAGTAGGACACCAGCAAAGAATACCGGAATTACAACACCTACTTGCACATGCAGCTCTTGTTGCAGTCCACAAGGGTTCTATAATGTGCCAAAAATGATTATAGCTTTATTAACATAATTTTACTAGAACTGTGTAAGACGTGCCCACTTTGAACACACTTTCTGAACTTGCTGTAAATGGCATCGGTCTTAAAACTGTATTTTAAACTTAATTTTAAAATTGCCCATTGTCATTTCAAATTTTGAACAAAATATTGATCCTCTGTATTTTTAAAACAGCTAGTTTGATAGTGATACTGAAACACAAAATACTTACAAGTACAGGTCAACCTACTGTGCATATAAGTTATTCCAAGTAGGTAAAACAAATGTATTCCCTGTGCATTTCTGTATTATCAAAGATACTCTTGTTCATGTTCAAGCCTTTTGAATTAAAAAAATGTTCTTATTTTAAACTGGTTGCTACATAGCTATGGGAATTCATTCCTTTGAAAGCTTCATTCTTCAAGTTGTTGAGTGGCTCTAAAATAAGTTGGCAGTATTCTCTCTATTCATTGGGTATGCTTACATTAATGACTGGTGTGACAAAAAGCGTGAAGAACTAGGATTAGATTTGCTGCAATCTGTTAGGGTTTGAGGACCATATGTACACACGATGTCTTTACCAGCAATGAAGTTCATACGTATTGTGGTCCTAGCTGATCATCAGGTAAATATAGACAGCTAGCCCCTGAAGAATGTTGCATTCACATAGCAGGTGGGCCTTCCGGATGTTGTACCAACACCTCAGGTATGCAACATCATCTTACCAAGAGCTCTACTAAGACAGAAACAGCTGTTGGCACATCAGGAGTGCTCCCTAATATGAACTTTAAAACTGCAGGTAGAGAAAGAAGTCAAATTTGTACCAAAAAGAGCTGCTTCTTCATATGACATCACTAATATAGACTTATCCATAGATGTCAGTGCTGTAACTGGTTGTCAAAGACAGTTCAAAGAAATACAGTATCAGAAAAAGTAATTTCTTCATATTAAAAATAGACACCGTTACCATTTATAGCAGAAAAAAGAGGAAAATTAAATGGAACAAATCTTTATACTACCATCACTAATTAAAAAAAAGTCTTTGTAATAATTCTTTTTTTATAAAGACATTTCAGTTTGAAAAATGTTAAAAGATTTTTTTTTTTTAGCTTTTTGAAAAATTATATGGAAGAAAAAGAATTTTTACTACAGTCCTTAGAGTATGATGAAGTTTTCTGATTTGCTTAAAAAAAAATTAATTCTTACTGGGAGCTTGTTTGAAATTTAAGATGTCATAAAGGTAACTATGAAGACAAATCTGAAATAGACTGTAATATTTTCTGACAAACAAACTTTTTCTTCAATGAATGAGCTGCAGTATTAGTGTTCATATATCTGTACATTGATCTTTAGGAGAAAAAAAAAAATCCTCAAAAGGTTGCACTGAATGATGGCTTCAGAACACTCAACAGTTTTCATTTACCTCTGGACTAAGGACAGCTGTGCTATCACTTGGTACATCCTCTTCGTATCCTTTGTTATGAAAGCTTTCTATTTCATGTCCCGTGCTTCCCTCACTTGGGCACTTATATGAACATCTTGGACTGTTGCTACACTGGGAAAATTCACATTTACTGTCTCCAACTTCAGAAGGCGTACAAGAAAGATGAGGAGAACCACTATCATCCTGGTATGGAGGCGGCTGCAGTTCATCCAGTGGAGGTGTTCTTCTCATCCTCTGAATGCAGTTCACTGAGAATAAGTGAAAATTCTTTACTTACTTTCTGATTATTTACTGTTGAAACAGTTCTGTGGAAAATGGTACGTCCAAATAACTGGACAAAGTATTTAAAATCCATAAATGTCCTTTTTTAATTTACATTTTACATTAGATACAAATACTACTGAAAAATACTTGTTTAAAAATGGAAACAAATGATCTCTCAGATGAAAGACGTAGGGATAAAGCAAAGTATTAAATATATAGTCACAATGGACTGTGTAAACCATATATAAATAAATACAGCGCAAATATGACATGACAAAAATTCTAGGCTTGAATTTCAGGGATGCTTACCTTGCAAAAACCTTTGGGTATCTTAAATCAGATTCTGTGCAGGTGGAATGTAGACCAACTAAGGAAACAAAATGCACTCCCTAAAGCCATGATATCAAACTTCGGATTACCTCCCATGCTGTTGCTTACCCAGGGAGATATTAAATTAAACTCTGAAGACAAACAAGGCACTAATAAAAGCAGACACAAGCCTTTTCACACAAGTGTACTCTCATCACTGGTGAATTTAACAAGGGAAGCAGTGTCTCAGATTCTTTATTACTTGTTAAAGACAGCTAAAGGGCACATACCCAGTGCCTAGAAGTTATACACTAGGTCCACTCACTAAAGAGAGTGGAAAAAGGACCATGAGCAATCTTGTGCTTGGGATGAATACTTGATGCTGACCATCTTTGCTTCTCACTTACACTAGAGCTAGATAGATAGAAATGTGGTTATACATCTCCTCAGAAAATAAACCCAAGATACATGGCTATGGATAAAGAAAGTTAATTCAAAATAATTACATTTCATTTTTTGACCTCATATTTTACTACAGAGCATTACACAGTTGAGTGGAGTTGGGAAAGGACAGCAAGATGTGCAGCAGCTGAAATGAAAGGAATACCAAGGATAGGTAAAACCTGTATCACATTTTGTTTACATCTTCTGTAGAGGTTTTAATGAAGATTTCTATGCCCCTCACACGTAGAGTTAACTTACACACAAAAATTTCAAAGCAAAAATGTTTTTTGGTGTCAGACATACCACATTCACCACAGAAAAAAAAAAAATCTACCAAACAATGAAGTTAATGAAAGTATTAACATTAGAACCATATAAGTTTTGATTTAAGATTCATCTAAGAAACAGACTGATCTTTCCCACATGACAAAGGTGGTACATTTTAGTTTCATCATCAAATTTTTGTATACAGGATTGACCTGCCTGTGCCCCAAATTCTAACCAAGTACATCAACCTTTTAACTGCTTCAGATGTAACTACCAGTTGTTCAACATATCACATAAAAACAGAGTACATGTAAGAGTCACTCTTTATGTCACAAGGCTGAAAACATGGTAATGTGGCTGTCTTGGGAAACAAACAGTCTTAGAGAAAGGCTTCCTTTAGTTCTCCTTTCCTTTGGAAGTCTGGGCTGCACCTGACTGTGGCACGCAGAAACTTTTCACAGCTTCTGGCATTTGATGTAAGCCCAAACCACCGTGGTTTCGGTGCCCATCGTCCACGGGAAGGAAACCCTGACACGTTGGCTAGAAGGGAGCCCATATGCATTGCAGATCCCCAAAGTTGGGCAACTGAAGGACAGGGACAGGATAGCTCATTATGGAGTATATCTACTGCACAGATAGGCAGAAGCCTCAAGGATAATTGGGGAATGCGGGGCTCTTCTCTATTTCACTGAGCTCCTAATGGAACTTAGCTTTAGCTAAGGCAAATGAGTAATTAAAACACCACCAAGCACTCCTACCAGATGATACCACTGTCAGGAATCCTCTCTTCTCTGGTAAACCCATCAGAGACAGCCTACCATTCAGAGTGATTTTAAGTTACTCTTACAGCACTCACGCAAAAGGTCTTCTGCTGCTAGTGAGCCCTGTGCCACTAACTCTTCAAACTCCAGTCCCACAGGGCTGGAAAGGAAAATGAGCAGGCAGGGAGTCCTGTACTTGAAACATAGTCACCAGTCTAGCAGATACATGTAAAACCTTACATAGGACACAGAGTTAAGTGGGACAGTCAGAATCTTGAAATTGCCATAGAGGAATAACGGAGAAAGCTTTATTTGCAAAACATGGAGAGATCTGGGGAAGCACTTTTTTTCTTTTTTTTAATATTAGATAACTTGTGCCCATGACACTACATAGACATAATTTTAGGATCTAAAATGGTATTTTAATCATAATAAAATAATAGTAAATATCCTTTGACTCTCTATACCATGGAAACAGGACTTCTTTTTCATAATTTCTATAAATAAATATTCTAGCAAATTTAGAGGAACAACATTTCTGTTCATTGTTGTGAAGAGGCAACGAACAAGCCTTAAATGAGACAGTAACCACCATGTAGCTATGACTTAATTTCTTTCTTTTCACTTGTAGCCTAGTCTGCAAGGACTTTTTAACTCCTAGCTTTTGCACATGCTAAAGAAATGAAAGCATGTTCAAGTAACCATCAACATCATTATTGTCTTACATGAGTAAATAAATGACTGTGTGACTCACTTTTTCACTTTGATGAACTCCATTATATATCCCTATGGGAAAACTGCACAGGCTGTGTGACATAAAAGGTACTTTTAATGTAGGCGGGGAAGAAGTGAAGAAAAGAAAATTCTTATTATCCAGCTGTGATTCAAAAAATCTCCGAAAACGCTGAAATATTTGGGCTGGTTTTAACTATTTATTTCTGAAAGTTTAGTTTACCAAACAGAAATAGCATGTAAATTGTTAAAATAACTATTCAGGTTTAAAAATCTAAGGACACCTCTGTCTAAACAGGCATAAACTGTTCTTGAACAAAATGTTTCTCTACATAAGAAGATATAAAAGTTTTCAAATTAATTTTTTAAGTGAAAATGTCTCATTTGAAATTCATTTCCCCCTTCCCACAGTAAATGATGCAATAAAATAATAATTTCATGGCGCTCTGAAAATACTGCAAATTTGAATTACATTAAGACGTTCTAATGACTGACAATATGAAAGACAAATGATATCAGAGACAGAAGTGAATACAGCAACACCAAATATCTGATACTGGGCATTTTCCTTAAAAACTACATAGAAGCAACAACTACTTTCAACAATCAATCTGTCAACAACATTTTACATATGTATCAAAGTTTAAATAAAAAAACCACTGCTAATGCATGCTGGCCTATCACCGATTGCATTGGAGAAAAACATTTGGAGCTGAAAGGAAAGCATGTTCTGAAATGTTGCATATTTACATATAGAACCACCATCTGGAACACACCTTGTACCCTTCATTTAAGGTGTAAACTTACACACTGTTACACTTGTGCATACTTGTATACTGTGGCAAAGCCAAAGAATACCGTCCAAAGACCACCGAATGTGGCTAATAACATCTTCTAAACAGTTACTCTTAACAATCAAATGGTTACAGTGAAAAATCTAGAATTAATTGTTGCATCGTTTCTACGCAAGCTTCCCAAGAAACTTTCTGCTCTCAAACCAGATAGAAAATAAGTTCTGCCAATTCCCCCAATGACATTAATCAAATTACCATACCATTTTGGGCTAGACAGGGTGAAAAACAAGCCAACATATATCCCAAACCTGGAAGAAAGGAATAATCACAGAGAAACCAAATCGGGTTTAGCCTGATGTTCCTACCAGCCAGAAAATGCCACAACAGAGGAAAGACAAAAAGAAAGTTAACAGGATGAAGATCCCACACCTAGTTTTCCACCCAAAATATGTGAAATAACTTTGCATTCTCATATCATGAGCGAAACTAAGTTCTTTAGTAATAAATATTCAGTAAACTCTAAATTGAGAATACAGTGTATCGCTGTCAATAGGCAGATTTGAATAATCAATCTTTTAAAGGTTAACTGCTTTAATTAAAATTTTCATCCTTCTTTAGTGGGCTGGGAAAACATTCATACAGCAGCAATAATAAAGTCCTTGCTCAACAGCTGAAGAAACCAGAACTATAAGCGGAATACCTGACAAACACAAGCAGATTAGTATTTTGCTGGTACACTCAGAAATTACATCATGTAAACTGTCATTAGTACATTTAAGTCAGAAGTAAATAAATACCTTCTTTTTAGTACTGTTTGTTAAACAATGAAGGTTAATCTGCTTTCTAAGTCCTTGTACAGGGGACTGAAAGCCAAGGTGCAATGATACATACACTTGCCATCAACCTCAAGGGAGCGTCAGTAAAACCTGACACAGCAACCATGGCCAAAATGAGTATTCCTAGAACACACAACTGGTAACTATGAGAAAATACACATATTTTCAGTCATTTTTCCAAGTGGAATCACACTTTAAGGATACATGAACTTTCTATAAGAAATGTTTTTTCTTTAGTTTTTCAGTTACCATTTGAAATTCCTACTCCCAGCGCTCCTCATTTCTCCTCTCTGTTCTGGTCCCTAGTGGACCACACTAGGCCGTACAACATTTCACCATGAAGCTGGTGATGTTCCTTTCCGTGTTTGCAATGTTTAGACTATCTTAATTAGATTTTCCTAAAGGTAGTAGGCAGCAGCACAAACGTAGCGCTCTCAGCCCGTATTTCCTGAGTCATTCCAAGAACATCCATCTCAACATATGGGAAAGGAAACTATCCTTGTGGTTTTAAATTCCCTGTCTCATAAGCAGTAATTAACTACACTTTTGCAACTTGGAGTTTCTCATATATATTGCTTCTTTAAATATTCATACTATTCTGGGAGGCAGCTTTACTGCAAAACTTCGTTGGGAATCTGGTTTCCATTTTCTTTAAAACAAATAATCACTATATAAATTAATAATTTTTGCAAGTCATATTTTGTAACTACCAGAGTATCTTCATACTCAAACAGTAGCTTTTCTTCCTGTAATATATCTCCACATACACTATGCTTCATAACTATTTATTTTTTTAATCTAACGTAAATTTCAGGTTTTTAAGCCTTCAAGGGGTTCAATG